CAATTGAATTGTTCAAATTTCTCTTGTTTTTCTGGCATTATGTTGATTAGACTAGGCAACCACAGCGTACATATATATTTATTTTCCATTTTTTTGTATTAGTTTCAGGTGTACAGCATAGTGGTTAGACAATCATATACTTTACAAAGTGTTCCCCCCGATATTTCCAGTACCCACCTCGCACTATACTAGTACGTAGTTATTAAATAGCACATATTTTTAATTCTTGATTTCACTGAATGCAAATATAAAAAGAATAGTTAGAATTGGACTAGAGATAACTATTTAAATGTTTAAACGATTGTGGGCTGAGAGTAAGCTCATTTAATAATTATCTAAGGTAGGTCATATAGGCATATCTAGCACCTCCAAAAAATTAGGTTGAATCTAATGAAATCTAGGTAATCAGCCTAAAAAAGATTCAATAAACTACTTGCTAATTATTGGTTACTGTTTATGTGAACTGGTAACTACCGACATTGATATAATTTTTGTTCTCCTAGTTTCCTAACCAATTATATCAGCTTCCAATAATACCTTTACTGCCTTCACATACTCTAAAGAGCCATTTCTCTTTTCCTCCTTCAAAAACAGCATAGATATTTCCCCGGACTCTTTGGGGTGATGAACTTATTTGGGAATTTTGTTTCAAAGGAACCTTCCTTAGGGCCAATAAATAAAATGTTTGAAAAGCACCATCTTATCCTGATGTCATTTTCTGGTAGAAGAAATTTTGCACAGAGCCACCATAAAAAATTTTATTACTAGGCAAAATGTTTTACATGTACAGTAGTATAAGAATCATGTATTAAAAATAGTGTAATAATAATGTTTTATATCTGTTTTTTGTTAAAAGGATTGCTTTTAAAATGTATATATATCTTATATATATATAAAATTAATTTTTTAGAGAGGAAGGGAGAGGGATAGAGAGTTGGAAACATCAAGGAGAGAGAAACATCGATCAGCTGCCTCCTGCACACCTCCTACTGGGGATGTGCCCGCAACCAAGGTACATGCCCTTGACTGGAATTGAACCTGGGACCTTTCACGCTGCAGACTGATGCTCTATCCTCTGAGCCAAACCAGTTAAGGCTCATGTTTTATATCTTACACTGGTTTATGGAAAACCAGGACTACTTCCTATCACCTCATGTTATCCATAAGGGCACATAATTGTTTTTGCTTTTAAAAATCTTTATATTTTAGTAATTTTTAAATCACAACAATACTCAATGTTTTATGAAATGAGTTGACTTGCTAGCCAGTATAGTTCATAAAACAAACTCTCTGGTAAAATTATCTAGATAATAAGCTTAGAGGGTTCCATTAGTGCTAAAATTAACCTTGAGCTCTTCCTGTATAGTTTCACCCTCCCTATCAGTTTCTTGTGTCTCCCCCCCCCCCACTTTTCCTTATGTCCTATTCACTTTAATTTCTAAGACAAATATTATAAATGATTTTTACTTATAAATTATTCACTGATACCCTTCAACACGTCAAATGAATTAAAAAAGAATCTCAATGAGGAATAATGTATTCACGAGGCTTAATAGATTTGATTTGAAAATAACAAACCGTCCAAGGCCAATGTTAAAAATAGAGAACTGTATTTGATCATTTTTCATCAAGAATGTATCTGAGTCTCTGAGTAATCATTACTCGGAATATTCAATTATCATAGTTATACAGTAGAAGCTATTTATTCTAACTTCACCAAAGGAGAGGAACTTTAACGGTGTCTGAGGGTTTTAATGAGTTTGCATTGGCAGGAGAGCTTATTCTAATACTTGCAGCTTACTTGAAAAGCAGCTTATGCTAAGATTTGGTAGCTAATATAATGTTTTGATAGGCTTATATTGCATGGAGATAATCGAGATATAAAAAGGAGAGGATATATTTTGATTCAGGGCTTCTTGAAATCAAGGGAGCTAGCTTTCCCTAAACAATAGACTTAACCTACTTTTGTTGGACAATGTTTACAAGAGAGCGAGACTTGGTTAACTCATATAAACCTCAGTAATCTTTTATTTTTCCGTTCTTTCACTTACGAATACTATCTACCTGTACTAGGAACCCAGGGCTACAAAAATGAAAGGTAGGTCTTCCTTCAAGGAGTTTTCAGTCGGGAGGACTGACTGGTAAATAATTAAATACGATACTGCAATTACTGGATAGCCACGTAAAGCGGCTCAACGTGAACGCAGGAAAAGTGGCCTCCGGGCCTGTCTGGGGGAAGATGTTTCTTTCATTTTTGTTGCCACGGGAAATAACTCCCAGATTTCAAATGATCACCCAATATTTCTCCTTACCTGCTTGCAGAAGCACTTTCTAAGAGAAGCAATTATTATTGATTTTCAAATAAAATGTACTCATATAAATATCTCAGAAATTCTTGAAACCAGAGGTAGTAATGAGTTACACAAGTATATTCCTGATGATTTGTGACAGTGTGGGACAGGAATAGTGCAGACGAAAACACCTCAAACCTAATTTTATCTAGCTGTTTTGACTTCCTCACTAACTTTTAAGAGCCAAACTGACATAAACTATGTTTGCTAGCTTTAATTTCCTCTTCCTTTTCACACTTTCTAATGGAAATGATGGTTTAATGAGCAGTGGAGTTGAAAAAAACAAAAGATAAAGGAACTTCAAATACTTAATGAACTCAGGGCTAACCCCTGAAGCATCTGAGCATATGCAGTACATGTTACTTATGTCTGGGGTATAAAAAAAAAAGTGTTAATTAAGGCTATCCACCATGGATTTGCCTGAAAGTGTTATCCCACTTCTCAAAAATGGGCTCTTTAATTTCTTCTTATTGTCTGGCTTACGAAAAATTTAATTGTAACTGCCAATAAGGTTTGGGATATAGTTTTGTGACTATTTAAATTTAAAAAAAATTAACAAATAGTTATACATGTGCCAGGTAGTATACCAAGTACTTTTACATAAAATGTCTCATTTCAAGTCATTCAATACGTAAGCTCATTCACAATGAAGCATCTTTCTCAAGAGACTATTCTGAAAATCTTCAGAAAGAAGGTTGTGACATTTATTTCACGGAATTTTTTTACTTAAAAATAATGTGTCAAAGCAACAAATGAACAAAACTGACAGAGACACAGCAGTATGATGGTTACCAGAGGGAAATGGGAGTGGAGGGTTGCAAAGGGTAAAGAGGGTCAAATATATGGTGACGGAAGGAGACTGACTTTGGGTGGTAAACACAATGCAATATACAAATGCCGTATCATAGAATTGTACACTTGAAACATATATAATTTTATTGACCAATGTCATCCCAATAAATTTAATTAAAAATGATATGTGTCCCTTTACCCTGAGTCATTTTTCTACCATTTTTTCCTCCCACGGAGAATTTCACAATGTGTTTATGTCCCTTGTTTTGACACGTAAAATCAGCAGTCTCTTCTGTCCCAAACCTGCCTTTCACACACTGGTACCATTAGCTAAAAGTAACCCCAAACTTTTTCCTTTACCCTCAGGAAGTATTTCAAATTGTCTCCCTCAAATGTTTATGATAAATCCATATCTTATCTAGACTTCTCTGTCCCTGACCTGGTTAACATGGTAGATGGTTAACACATCATAGCCTTTTTTCACCCTTTCCCACTCAGTATTACTAAAGAAGCATCAGCATTGGATCCAAAATGGAAATATAATTGAGCTTTTGCTGCTGAAATGGATACTCTTTGAGTCTATGCCAACTGTTACAGAGGCAGACCTGTGATCGAAGGAAACAACATGTTAACCAATGTCTGTAAATTAGGCAGCAAAACCATACACTCTCTCCTCTCTGGGCAGCTAATATTTTTAAATTGCTGAATACCCAATAATGATGCAAGATCTTCAGAAGCAATTGGTATGCTTTGTTTTGCTCTGCTTTTGAAAGACATAACTTACATATAATAAAATGGAAAAGATCTTAAATGCTCAGTTTCATGAATTTTGACAATGGTATGCACCTATGTAACTGACATCCCCATATAAATTATGGATTTTCAACACTCCCAGAGAGATTCCTTCTGCCTTTTCCTGTCAAATCTCCTCCCACCCCCAAGGCAACTTCCTGACCTGTGTCATCATAGTATAGTTTTGTGCCTTCTTATGCTTCATATAAATGGAATCATCACACAATATTTTTGGTCTGGCTTATTTAACTTAGCATAATGTTTTGAGATTCATCCATGTTATTGAGTATACCAATAGTTTCTTTGCTAAGTAGTCCATTGTATAAATGCACTAAATTTTTCTATTTGTCCATTGGCTTGTTTCCATTTATATTTTATTTTATTATAAATATGCTATTATGAACATTCTTGTACAAGTCTTTGTAGGAACATATGTTTTCATTTATATGAGGCAGCTAGTAGTAGAATACCTGAGTATATTTAATTTTATAAGAAGTCACCAAATGCTTCTCAAAAATGGCTGCACTTAGCTATGTTTCTAGTGGAAAAAATTTCTTATTTTTCCTAGTTTACATTTAATATTCTGGAGCAACAACTCAGAGTATGTATTGTCTAAAATAATCCATGCTTCTTCCAAAGTTCCCTGACAACTAGTTAACAGAGAAATAGCTCAGGTATTGGGGAAACATGACTTGACACAGAGTAGTTTTTGGAGCTCTTATCGTCTGTCAAGCAGTGAAGGTTTTATTATAAATTTTCACAGATTTTTGACGGTCAACAGAGAGTTGAGACTTCTCTTCTTATAGCCCTACCTTGAAAAACATTCCTAGCACAAAAAAAATAAAATAAAATGTGAGTTAAAACGTATTTAAAAATTAAAAAAATACATAGTTGAACTGATAAGAAAACTTCTCAAAGGGGAAAAATGACTAAAAATTATAAATCCAGATGGGCAAGCAACAGTGAACAAATTGGTCACGTCAGGGGCACCTACCAATTCCTGGTGGCCTAGAGTCTCAGTGTCATGGGGCCATACGTGGGGACAGGGACACTAAAAGGTGACTGAAAGGATTCTTTCCAGTTTTGGGTTATTATAAATAAAAAGCTGCCATGAAAATTCATTTACAGATACTTGTGTGAACATATGTTTTTATTTCTCTTGTGCAAATTCCTAGGAGTAGAATTGTTGGGCGATATGCTAAGAGTATATTTAACTTAAAGGAAATGAAAACCTGTTTTCCAAAGTGGTTGGTTGGACTATTGTACAGTTCCACCATGTATGAGCATTATAGTTCATAGCAGCATTATTCAGAACAGCAAAAAATAGAACACCCAAATGTTCACAGTCAGAGAATGAATAAATTGTGATACATCCTTCACATGAATACCACAAATAATTAACTACAGCAACATGACTAAGACATATTGAGCAGAAAAAGCAAGTAATAGATGAAAACATATAGCATATTCCATATATATGTATATATTTCTAAAATATGCTAAAAGCAATGTTATTTGGAATATATACATTTTTGAAAGAAGGTAAAGCAAAGGGGTAGTACACACAAAATTCATGAGAGTGGTCAACCTCTGGGAAAGAAGTTGTGTGTAGGGATGGGAAGGTTAGGGTGCCTAAAAGATGTTGGGAATATCCTGTTTCTTAATCTGTGTGATAGATACATGGTGTTTATTTTTATTATTATTTAACTGGCACGATACATTTTATATATGCTTATATATGATTTATTATAATACAAGTTTAAAAAGAAAATAACTTTCATAATTTCACCAGGATGTGCCATAAAAGAAAATAAAGATCATCCATGTTTCTTTAAAAAGAAAAAATAACTGATCTGGGCATTTGTCCTATACTGTAATGTGTTTTCCTAATACTATTTAGCATTCTGTATACTTCCTCTGAGAGATGGCAGTCCTACTAGTGGAGTAATTCTGGCCTGCAGTTCTATCTCTGGGAGTAAGAATTTAGATTCCTGGTTCCCAGCAATATTAATGGCAGTAGTTAAAATCATAAATCCTTGTTTATGGTGATGAAATTATAGCCCATCTGATAACAAAAATGATTGAGTAGAATTCATTTATTTCTTTTTTTTAATATATTTTTATTGATTTTTTACAGAGAGGAAGGGAGAGAGATAGAGAGTTAGAAACATCAATGAGAGAGAAACATTGATCAGCTGCCTCCTGCACATCTCCCACTGGGGATGTGCCCGCAACCCAGGTACATGCCCTTGACCAGAATCGAACCTGGGACCTTTCAGTCCGCAGGCTGACGCTCTATCCACCGAGCCAAACCGGTTTTGGCATATTTCTTAAAATTATATCAGGGAAGGATATGTCCTCTACTTATTTTCCAACTGAATTATTTAAACCCAAGGTGTAAAAAACATCATAAAATGACCTCATACCCAAATGTAAATTCTAAGAAGCCCAGTTGGTCACTTATTGAATAAGACTGCACTATTGACAGTAAAATTTCTCTATCTCCCTTCTAGGTCATAGCATAAAACTATAAATTCAAAAAGTTGAAAATTTCATGAGTTGAAAAATTCCAGTGAGGAAAGTGGAAAGATGGCAAGAAATAAGTTTTTTGTGTATTTTGCTAACATTAAAAAAGCTAGAGTTCTATCAGCTAGTGCATTTCTATCTCCCTCCTGGGACATTGTTATTGAAGACAATGTTTTAAAAAATTAGTTACTATTTGATTACATCTTTGTTTATAAATAAATTATAAAATTATGTACTTGAGTAAATTATCCCTCTCCCAAAAAACTTTATAGCAACTCAAGTATGAAATGTGTTTGAAGCTGGAAATCAAATGTGAATTATCACAGAAGCAATTTCAAATGCAGAAGGGAATGAGCCTTTAACTTATTACATAATAAAAATATCATCAGTAATGAAACACTTATGAATTAATATTCAAGTACAAATTCTAGAACCAAAAGAAATGTTTAATATTAATCAATAGCTTCATTTTCTTTTAAGTTAGAACCAAGATGTATGACTAGAAGTAATCATTCTAAAAAAATGGAGTAATTCTTCTATTGTACTCCACATTATTTAGAAAATTTAAAAAATATAGTATTTTGCCCTATATGATTATATGAAATATAGGTAAAGACATATAATGGTGGAGTTGAGCATATTTATTTTCTTATACTGGCAAATGAGAGTCAGATGGGAATATCTGAAATATACCTATTCCTTAGTTGAGCACCACTGCTAAGCTAAGTAAGGATTTCTGATTTTTATAGAGTGATCTTTAATTACTTGTGCAAATTAAATCATAGACAATTCTATCCTAAATGAAGGATGCATTTTTAATTTTTACTTTGGAACATGGGTCTGAATTTTAAATAATATACATTTGTACAAATTTCAGAAGTGTTTTCATATGTACTATACCACTTGATACTACTATAACCCCATGAGGTTAGCAGAATCTAGAGTTATTATCTCTATTTTGCTGATGAGAAAATGAGACTCATGGAGATGAAATTGTTCGAGTATCTTGGCTAATGACAGATACAACACTAAGTCTTTCTGTCTTTTCTTTTGAAGTTGATGTTTTTTTTTTTTCTATTTATACCACCATTTCCATATCAAATGTTTGTCTTCAGACAAAAATACAACTTATGTCATCCTGTTAAGTTTCATCTTTGGAGGTTTAGGCAGGTTGAATAATGGCCACCCAAACATATTAGGTGTTAAAACCTACAACCTGTGAATGCTACCTTATAAGGAAAAAGGGTCTTTACAGATGAGACTAAGTTAAGGATCTTGAGATGGGGGATTATCCTGCATTATCCAAGTGAACCTTAATCCAACCATCTGTCCTTACAAGAGAGAGGCACAGGGAGATTTGACTCAGACAGAAGAGTAGAAGACAGACACGGTGAAGGCAATGCAACTACACAGGCTGAGTTTGAAGTGATACAGCCGCAAGCCAAGGAATGCCAGCAGCCACCAAAAGCTGGAAGAGGGGCAAGGGACAGATTCGTCCCTAGGACCTTCAGGGGAGTGTGGCCTTGTAGAGACCTAGATTTCAGACCAGTATAACCGGTGTTGAACTGCTGGCCTTTAGACCTGTAAGAGAATGAATCTCTTACCTTAAGGCACCCAGGTTGTGGTAACTTGTTACACAGCGCTTGGAAACTAATAGAGATGCTATACTGTTCATGTCTTCCATTCCCTGTTCAACTCCATGCAGGTGACTTGAACCTCCAGCGTAGAACCGATGAATTCAGAGGAACCTGAGCTTGTCCGTTAGAACTTGCCCAGAAGAGAGAATGGTTAAAACGCTAGGGTTTCCGAGCACTTTGTAACAAGGACTGTTTGCTGAAAATTAATAGGGAATGTTGATAAACTTTAAAAAGAAATATTTAAATGGAGTAGCTATTGTTAATTCATGTAAAAACAAAATCTTGTCACTGATAAGCTGAAATGTACTGACTAAAACTGGGAGCTATTCTTGTGTGTATATTTGAAAAATTCAAACTTTCACAGTAAAGAAAGTTTTTGTTTTCCTTTATAGGAAACATGTTGGAGCTATCATGTCTGGAAGTACGCTTACAACCCGATCTTACCTATTCATTCTCTTCCTTAAATTTTTCTGTTGTGACTTTTCTGCAACCAGTAAGGGAAACTGAAACTATGATGGGAATTTTTCTAAATCACTCCAGCGTTCAAAACTTCACCAGGATATGCCCTGACATCACAAGTGAATTTCAAATGTGCTCCTCGTGTTTGGTTTGTGAGTCCAAAGGAAACATGGATTTTATTTCTCAGGAACAAACACCAAAAGGTAAATTCAAAGGGAAAGTGAGAATGAAATGTATCAAGGATAGATGACCATATTCTGTTAAAAAAGGGTATTAATAATATATTCAAATTTTAAGTCCCTGGAGTGGCTCTTGATGACTGACTTGAAGGGCTTTGAGATATTAATTGTTCTTGGTTTACTTTGATTGATCAAAAACAAAATATCTATTCAAAATATCAATGCCACTGTAATGCACAAAGATTTGATGGTTAAAGAATTATTTAACATGCTTTTTTCAAAGATACTGAATTTAAATAAATGGACTTTAAAATGTGAATTAAAAATTCTAAACAAACTTGTAGGTTCTCATAGTAAAAAAAAATCACACTTTGATTCTCCAAGGAGTCATTGAATTCTTGATACATTTATAACTATTCCTGCTTAACATTTATCCACTATATATGAGCTGTCTTTTTACTTGTCTAATTATCCAGTGAGCCTGTTGATGGCAAGGTCTTTGTCTTTGTTCACTAGTGTATTTCTATATCTTAGCATAATGTCTGACATTTGGCACTCAATAAGTATTTGTTTAATGAATGAATGAACAAATAAAAGATAACTACATATTACCTGTAGTGTATAACTGAATCTTACATTTATTATGTGATCAATATATATTATTTAGTTAAATTGTATTAATTTGAATCATTGAGAAATTAAGTAATTCACTTATAATCACAAAATATATTGGTTGCCTCAAGCCTAAGCATAAAAATGATTGCTTATGCCGATTTATTTTTGTCACTGATAAGCTGAAATGTACTGAGAAAAAGGCATAGGCAAGATTGCCTTTTATTTGTTTTATATTGGCATTTTCCCTATTCTTTAGAAATGGGAACAAGGAGGGGACATCTCTAATAATACCAACAACAGAAAATTGGGAACAAGATTTCTTGTCATTGACTTTTGATGAAGTACAATAGACATGTCTTCTTCTGAGTTCTTATTCAAGTAGTGCTGTAACTATTGCAGGGCTTTGGGTCAAATCACCAGAAAGCAAAATGGGGAAATACCTTTATGATAGCAAAGAACTAGAAAGTGTTTCAAGGGCTGGCATTTCACAGGTGCTACTTCTCTGTCTCTTTGAAAATTGAAAACAGTGTTTTTTTAAATAATGGGTGTTTATTGCATATAACATCATTATATTTAAAATCATTTTTCTTGAGATATTAAAAAAGAAAGAAAGAAAAAGATCCCAATCGAGGGCTATTTTATAAGTACCTGGCTCAGGACTCCTCAAAACTGTTGAGGTCATCAAAAATAAGAAAAGTTTAAGAAACTGTCAATCAAGAGGAGCCTAAGGAGATATAATGAGTAAATGTGAATAGGTACCCTGAATGGAATCCTGGAGTGAAAAATACGGACATTGGGTAAAAAACAAGGAACCCTGAATAAAGTATGGACTTTAGTCAATAATAATGTATCAATATTGGCTCAATAATTGTGACAAATGTTCCTGTGAATGTAAAATGTTAATAATAGGGGAAAGTTGGTATGGAGTATATATGAACTCCATGTGTTGTCTTCACAACTTTTCAGTAAGTCTAAAACGATTCTAAAATAGTTATGTTCAAATCAATTCACTAAAAGAAAGTGAGGCCCTCTGGCTTGGAAGGAAATTTAAAAAAAAGAAAGGAAGTGAAAACAGTGCATTGATAAGTTCTCTTAGTTGCTATAGCTGTGTAATAAATCACCCCAAAACTCAGTGGCTTAAAAAAATAGCAATCATCTTCCCACCTTTCTTTTCTTTTCTTTTCTTTTCTTTTCTTTTCTTTCCTTTCCTTTCCTTTTCTTTTCTTTTCTTTTCTTTTCTTTTCTTTTCTTTTCTTTCCTTTTCTTTTCTTTTCTCCTTCTCTTCCTCCTCCTTCTTCCTCTTGGTGGGCCAGGGATTCAGAATGGGCATAACTGGGCATTTCTGGCTGGGAGCATTTCATACTGTTGGGTAAGACAGTGGCGAGCTAAAGCAGAGGGGCTGAGCAGCTAGAGACAGGGGGGCATTTCTCTCCAGGTTTTTTCTCAGAATTTTCTATGTGGTCTTTCCATGTGGGCTACTTTGGGCTTCCGCACAGCATGATCACTTTGAGTTGTTGAACTGGTACATAGTGGTGCAAGGCCCCAGTATTATGTTCCAGGGAACAAGGTAGATATTGCTTCACCTTTTCTGGCTTCACCATGAAGGGTCTCTTTTTCTGAATTTGGTAGATTGCACTTATTACAAACCCTCCCACCCAGATTCAAGGTATTAGACTCTACCTATTTATGGTGCAGTGGCAAAATTTTAAGTTAACATGTATGTTATGGGTTAAATTATATTGAAGTCCTATCCCTCAGTATTTCAGAAAGTGATATTTGAAAATAGGGTTGTTGCAGATGTAATTAGTTAAGATGAGGTCAACAGGATGGGTTAGGGTCCAATATGACTGGTGTCCTTATAAAACGGGGAAATGTGGACACAGACAAGCACACAGATGGAGCACCATGTGAAAATAAAGGCAGAGATTGGGTGATGCTTCCACAGCCATGGAATGCCAAGATTGCCAGCAACCCCAGAAGGCTGGAGAGGGGCCTGGCGCAGACCTTACCCAGATAGCCCTCAGAAAGAAGCAACTTGGCCAACACCTTAATCTTGAAAGCCTAGCCTCTAAAATTGTGAGACAATAAATTTCTGTTCCTTAAGCCACCCAGTTTATGGTGCTTTGTGATGCAGCCCTAGCAAACTAGTGTAATGTGGAATGAGAAATATTGTTGTGAGAATTTTGAAAAATAACATCTGTTCCACAAGTTGTCAGAGAAATACCTGTGTTTTATTTGAGATGCTCTGATTCTGTTTCAATCTTACTGTCCTTTGGGTTTCACAATCTTAAAAAAATTTAGTGCAGGTAACTTCTTGTTTCTACTTTTTTTTATATATAGGAAGAGATTTAGTTTTAAATTGTTTTCTTACTAGGTAATACTATTTTGTGAATAACATTTTTCTAATCTCTTTCTAGTTCTTATCATGAGAGGATCCATGGAAGTGAAGGCAAATGATCTTTCACCTTGTCGCCATTTTAACTTCACTGTAGCTCCTGCAGTTGACCACTCGGAGGAATATAACATTACCTGTAATCTAAAAACAGGCACCAGAACCTCAGCAATGATGGAGGAAGAGCCAACCACGGAAAAGTCTATAGACCATACTTGTGGAATTATGAATCACTCGCATAATTGTGTACACATTTCTTTGCACCTAGAAATGGATGTAAAAAGTAAGTCTTAAAGGAAATTAGAGGGAAAAGAGAAATTATATAAGGGCTATCACATTAACTTCACTGAAAGTAAAATCATTGAAGAAGGATTTTATTAATGAAATAATATGGCTAGAAAAGTGTTAGCCCTTTTATCTGTTTTGTTTTTTTTCTTTTTTGAAAATGTGCTCTTTATGGGACCCAACCCTACCTGGGGGCAGAAGGAGCATCTGTGGGTGGTGACTGAGGGTCACTAGAAAGTCCCTCTGCCCTAGAAAAGATGTACATGCCTATTAGCTGCGCTTGAAGTAATACTACCTCACTTGGGTATGAAAGGGTGAGGTTTATTTTAAAATGTAAATATCCACATACATTGTGATATCTATTAACATCTTAGTTTGAATTGATTTAACATTTCCTCTTAGAGCTGTGAACCAGGTCTGCATTAAATGGGATTCTTTCTCTTTATTGATTAAGGTATTACATATGTGTCCTTATCCCCCCATCCCCCGCTCGTGCCCTCACCCCCTGGTGTCTGTCTCCATTGGTTAGGCTTCTATGCATGCATACCAGTCCTTTGGTTGATCTCTCCCCTTACCATAGCTAAATAGGATTTTTGATGTGAAGCCGAGAATATAGGCAGGATAAAGATTAAGCACTTTGGTTCCCTGGAGGAGTTGGGGGAATGTAAGAGCCCAAAGACAAAACTTACATATATCTTAGTTCTGCTTATTGCTGATTAACTTCCTACCCATCCTCTTCTGATTGACCACAATTGATCCCTTTACTAAGCATTGTGTCCTCACTTAGCCAAAAAACCTACTCTTGAAGGGCATTTTATGATCTAACCATTTAATGAGTGCCTGCTGTATGCCAAGCAATGTTCCAGGCATTGGGGACACAAAGAGAGATGAATGCACAGCAATCAAGGAGGTCATTCAGTGTGACAGGTGCTCTGCTAGAGCAATCTTCTGTGCTTTTGGATGTTCCAGATGCCTGGGAGCCTTTCAGGTGATTTTAGGATGATTTTCTAAAACCTTAGTTATTTTTGAGGCAACTATTTAAAAAATCTTATATTTATTTTAAAGTAAACACAAATATATACTATGTATGCATTTTGAAAATAAAATACATGACTTCAGAGAACTTTCTCCTGTGAGTGAGTTTGCCCAGGACCCTACAGCCTCTGCAGTTAGTGCGTATTTCGGTGTGTGTGTGTGTGTGGGGGGG